ATTGAAAAAGATCTTTTGCAAGGCCAGTCAGAAAGAGTGATATCAGTTATTTACAGTGTGAGATGAGCTATTGTTCTTCAAAGAATCATATCTCTGTATTCTCAAATCACTGATATAAGACATTATCTGTATATGTTACAACACAGCAGGTCACTCTGATCTTTATTAAATGAAAAACCTTATTCATCAGTTCTTCTTTCTTTCTCATATCTGAAAGAGAATTCTGAATCATCTATCACAATATCTCAATTATTAACTAGTCAAACTGCTGAATCACTTATCAGAGAATAAATTACATCTCATCTCATCTTTAAAACAGCTATTTGAAGTTCTTTTGATTGATTTTATTATAGAATTATCTGTGAGTGATAATCATAACACTATATTGACAGTTACAGACAAATTTTTGAAAGCAGTAATTCTAATTACAGAATAGAAATGATGAGATATTTCATAATAAGTAAAAGACTTCTATAAGAAGATGATCTGCTGCTGACAGCTCTCACTGATAATTATTTCAGATAGAGATCTCAAATTTACATTGTAATTTTAAAAGTTGATTCTTCAACTCATGAAAATTAAGACATGAATGATAACTGTCTATAATTCTCACTCAAATGATCAAAGTGAGTGAATCAATCTCATGATTGAAGTCATATTATGAATACTTCTTATAGATGAATATAAAGTAAATTGAACTGCTCTGCTTAAATAAGTAAAAAGAGTGTTGAACTCAGTAACTGTATAGTCAGCAATGATCTCTCTCTTTGAATTGCTCACAGGTGTAAAGTTTAGATAACTGTCATTGAATCATGAGAAAGCTCTGCTAGATATAGCTGAGTTCATTGCTATGTGAAATGCAGTGTGATAAGATATTCTTGACTCATATATTCTGATAAAAGCTAGAATGACTGAGTTCTTCAACTGATCTCATTCTCAATCAACTATTCAGATTAGTAATTGAGTCTTCTTGAACCTTGCTTAAAAAGCTCAAAAGAGCTGTACATTAAAAGAGATATTCAAGCTATCACTTTTATAAGTAGACTTGTTTCACATTCTTCAGAAGATATTAGATACTATATTTTAATTAAAACTGTCAGCTGATTGATGAATACACTCAGTAATCTTCATCATTCATCTGAAAAAGACTGTATTAATAGAAGTGAATATGAAGTACTTATAATCAGAATCAGTACTTATTGATGATCAGTTGTAATTTGAAGTTGAAAACATCATAAGAAAGCACACAGAGAATGATAAGACTTATCTTCAGATTAAGTGAAAGAGATATGAAGATCTGATCTGAGAGTCTCTTGAAGTTATTGTATAAGATACTCTGTACCTGATCAAGACCTTCATGACTAAGAAGTCTCACAGTCAGCTGAGTAAATGATAGAAAGAAAAGTAAAATAGAGACAGAGTGAAAGAAAGAAAGAAAATATATTATAATCTAATTTTAGCTATTAAATGAGAAGATAAAGAAAATAAGAAAATCATCATCTTTCATTCTTTTCATTATTTCACTCTGTCTCTTCTTATCAATCATCTTCAAGCTCTTTCTGCAGCTTGATCTCCTGCTCAGTGAGATGTGTATCTTAAAATACAACATTCACTGATAATCTCTTATTCATAAGATCACTGAAATGCAGTCTGCTGAGCAACTTAAAGAAATAATTATTAATCACAGTATCTCTCACAGCTGAAACTATATTAATGAACTCAGCTATCTTATTCAGTTCCTTTCACACAGTCTGAATAATGTTCAGATTATACTTGTCAAGATTAGACAGCTGTCTCAGCATCTTTAAATCTTGAACTCTACAATTGACTGTGCAGTCTTCAGAAGACTGAATTGACAACTGTTATACACTACTTATCTTGACCTTATTGATCATCTTAGCAGGAATTGAATGACTTGTCTTTGTCTCAATATCTGTCTTCACAGGTGTCAAGATGCCTCACTCACTGATTTAAATGCATTTCAAGAATTTCAGTGCAATCAGACTTAATGCCTTACACTTGAAAGATATAGATATTTTCTTTATTAAAACTATAATTGAATTATCCTTCTTCTCTGTATCACTGATCTCAATGATGTCATTAACATCTGTCTTCTCAGTCACAGTCTTTTCAAATTCAGACACACTCTCTTTAAATAGCAAGTTATCTGTGTTTCACCTGAGTTCATATCAGCTACAGTAATTTAAAGAGTAGTAAGATCTCTTATTTTCTCACTAACAGTTAATGCAAGTGTTATACTCTTGTCACATCTGTTTATCATCTGCAGAGATAATTATATATTTCTTAAATCATCTCTGACTCTTCACATAAGACTGATATGATATAGAAGCTATTTTTCTGTGAGTCTGTAGAATAATGAAATTCTGATTAGCAGAACTTTTAGAATTGATAATCTGTGAAGTGATTAGCTCATTATTATTCATTCATCAGCATAACTTTCACTTAATAGATAACTATCTTAAATCTTTAATTAATTACTAACTGAGTAAAATGAAAAATTTATAATTAATAAATAACATCTTCTTACTACATTCTGCAAGTCTTTCAATGATTGAGATAGTATTCACAAGCTTCTTCACAGTCAGGTTCTGCATGATTGACATACTCAGACAAGTGAGCTTGTCATTCTGCTGAAAGTATAAGTCAGTCTTATCATTGTAATACAGATATCTTATATATACTGTGCTATACAGTCAAGATATCTGATCACTCTTGATATTCTTCTTTCATTCTGACTTTCTTAAAATATTATCACTCAGAGTTTCATACTGCTTCTGACTAGCTCTCTAACACTTCTTATTCTCTTCTATCAGTGATAATTCTTTAGCATCTGTATCTGTCTATTCAGCTTCTGCTTTTAATTCTACTTACAGCTCTTCATCACTGACTGCTTCTACAGCAGTCTTCTGACTCTCTTCTCTCTTATTCATCTTAATGTCTTTTTCTGAAAACCAGTGTGTGAATAACTATAACTTTTTCAAATGAGTAAACAGTGTTATAAGCTTTCACATTATAATCTTAGACTCTTCTTGATTTTTCAAGCTTCTGTCATGTGATTCATCTGTTAACTCTTCTGTGATTGTATCATACAGTCTAGCTGAGTAATGATAAGATGTAACTGCCTTTCTCTTATTTTAATCTTTGACTACTTTGTACATGAAAAGATAAGTTGATAGTATTGAAAGCTTATCTCTGAAGTTTTCAGAATTGAAGATTTCTGACTTACTCTCTGTCTGAAATTCTAACTCTTTATCTTTATTATTTTCTTTCATCTCATTCTTATCTGTCTTCTCTTTACTGATCTTCTCACTCATCTTCTCTTCTCTATCACTTATATGAAGAAGAGTATCACACTTCTTCTGACTTAATAACTGAAATAATTTCTCTAAGATCAAGGCCTTTTTCATCATACTCACTGTGCCTGTCTTTATAACTATTAACTTCTTCTTAAGACTCATTGTTTCTGTAATCTAATCTTCTATATATTGTGATTTTCACTAATTCCACTATGTTAAATTTTAGCAAGATGTGTGAGAAATAAGAGAAGAATAAGAAGAAAGTAATTATAATATATATATTAATATAATCATTCATTTACATCAATCTCTATTACTCACAGAATCTTTTTTCTATCATAATAAAACTTTTATTCTTATCTATCTCATCAAAGAACTCTTTCTTATTCAAGCTTCTTATAATTTCTATACAATCTCTTTCTTTTCTTACAGCTGTTTTTAAATTAAAGAACTTCTGTCTCTTTTTTATCATTTTTTTTCAAATTATTCTTACATCTTTTGTTCTTTATAGAGATAAATAATTCTTATATCTGATCACTCTTTATATAAATAAGTGATTCTATCACTCAGTCTCTTCTTTTCTATAATATCTGTAGTATATGTAAATAAACTAGCACTTCTGAATAATATCTGTCTCTTTGAGTCTAGTATCTGTGATATCTGTTATCTTTTTTCAATGTCATTTTTTCTTCTCTGTGAATGCATTCTTTCAGATAGAGAGACTGTGATATGCTTTTATTCTCTATTCAAGTCAATTCTCTATTCAGCTCTAGCTTTTACTTTATTTCTTACTATTTTCTGAAGCTTCTGTTTCTATCTTCTCTCTCTGTTCTTCTCTTTATATGTGATTACTTCTTCTATAAGAGCTTTCACTTCTTCTCTACAGAGTCTTTATTCTTTTCTTCATATATAATTACTTCTTCTATGAGAGCATCTACTTCTTCTTTACAGAGTCTCTATTCTTCTCTTTATAAATGATTACTTCTTCTATAAGAGTTAATCTCTATAAAACAATCACTGTATATATAAGAGTGTACACTCATCTTCTATCTTTTAGAGAATAAGACAAGTTTTTACTCTTATATCTGACTCTATGTAGCGGCGTACGCTACAAGTCTTCTTATAATAAGTAATTATTCTATCAATAAGTTATCTAGTAAAGCATGTAATTCTAGATCTTAAGCTGAACTCTAAAGTAATAAATATATCACTTATAGTAAGATGACTCTACTTTCTCTAGATATATATAAAAAAAAAAGTAATATTCTTCACAATGAAGAATATACTTTCTTAAAAATATAAAGTATATAAATCTACTGATTAGCAGATTCAGAAAAAATGAAATATCTCTAATAAAGAGTGAGAGTCTTTTCAAAAAAGATGAACTATCTGTGTTAAAAATGTTAATGCAATGTTCTAAAAAGAAAAATGTGCCATTCAGGCTATAACCTGTAGAATAGTTGAAGGTTGTATTGATAGCTATCTACAAGAACATAATATAGTGGTGGGTCACGTGATCTAGTGGGATCGCTAACCGCAACGCCCGTAACGGCCAACAATAAATAGTTTAAATATTACCTGCAGACTAGAACTTACAACCTTCTCCACCTTCGCACTAGGAAACTAGGTTGAGATGATGGTGAGAGATGGACAACATAATAAAATGAGGAAGTAAAATATGAAGCGGAAGAGGATGTAATTAGCAGATATGTACTGTACATAGAACAACGATGCTCTTAATGAGGTTCAGAGCTCTTAGCATCGCAGGTCCGGGTTTGGAACCAGACGAGAGTCTATCAACGGATCCTCTAAAAAGAATACTCAAATGTAGAAGGTAGCGATTATGAAGGCATAAAATCCGCAAAACAAATTCGAGGTGTAGATTGCGTACTGCGATCGGGATGAAGCCGCTAAAAACATCACTCAATACAAGATACTCCGTACCCAGCTAGCCTCTTTGGCATCACAAAGGTCGAGGCCGGAAAATATTACTGAGTCAACACCAAGAAACCAGGCGCAAAGGAGAAAAAAAATTGAAAATTGAATTTCCGAAGTACCCGACACAAGAGTAAAATATATATTCAGAAATGGTTACACAAATGTGCCGAGAGGTATTGTAACTAGGCCCGTTTAGTCCTCTTCCCCGACTTCACTGAGTCGCCTGTTATTGTGTTCATGAATACACACATCTCTCCCCCCATTCGGTCCTACTCTTCCACCACGTTGCGAATGAGGGCAATAGGGCATCGCGAAACTGATCGTGAAAATAGCTCCGTGGGCTCGTTCAATTCTCATTCCGGCCGGTTTTTAAAGGAGATAAATGATTCCCAACGCATAAAAACATAACACAACAGAGCAAGAAAAACCGTAAAGAAATGCGTTTATGAGGTAGGGTTGGGGTTCATCTAGAGGGACGAGAAAAAAGTCATATTGTTAGTTCCAGGCTCCTTCGCAGTAGATAGCCCCGGTTGGGGGGTTCCTTTCCCCTTATCAGATTGGTATAAGGGCTCTAAAGGACGCACCTTTCGCTTTCCACCGGTCATGGTGACGTTGACGAATCGTCTGGTGTATTGCAGGCGCTTCTTGGCGCGACCCTTGGGGGACTTCTTCTTCTCTTGAGGCTCGACCTATGTCCATAAAAGTACTCCAAGTCAGTCCAAAAGTGGCTCTTGCCTCCCTATCTTCCATATCCCTCCACGTGTCTCCAGTATTCCCCTCCCATATATCGCGATCCATCTCGGAATCTCAGGATTCGCCGGACGGACAGAACGATTTTCAACGAGACGAGGGAACACCGCTGTTCGAAGACCATAGCTGGGTGCGAAAAAAATGAATGGGCGAAAAACTGACCTTGGGGGTCTGAGACTTGACTTTACCCGCACGGGCGAGGGATCCGTGAACTTTACCCATGATGCGCGATAAGAGATGGGGATGAGGTTTCGGAGGATGTCGTCGACGAAGGTGTTAATGACTGTGCGGGAGGCTGAAACGAAGTTGGGTTGATGAGACCCCAGTTAGCGTTTGTCTTCTCCGGCTCGCCGTATTAAGCGAGGTGTGGCGACTAGGGGAAGAGAGAAATAGTAGAAGGCCTTCTAGGTGTCTCTTTGCGGTGCTGGGAAGGAGGGACTAGATAGGGAGAAGAAAGAGGAGCTACTTACAGTCGCTCGGGATCCGATCCTCTTGTCGTTTGTCGTTGTCGTGGTTTGCCGTTCAACCGCTTCAAGCTCTTCTGTGTGACTTGAAGTTGGCGATGTCAAAAATTAGCGAGTGCCAAGACTTGGAGGCTGATGTTTATTAGGGCAGTGCCCTATTGCTTATTTTGGAATATCTCAGGTCTGGTTACTCCGAGCCTGATGACGGAGAGTCTATGCAGCTCTAGAAGACGATACTGACACCGAATTGCGGTTTCGCTCACTTGAGGGATTAATAGACTATATGAAGTATTAAGTTATGGTGATTTAGATTCTAATGAGCGGGACATGTACTGCGGATAGCCTAGGAATTGTGGTGCCACCTCCTAAGCTATCAGCACACTTGCTGCGCCTACAAGGTGTTCCTCATAAAGCATCGCTGGCGTTACGACTCCAAGAACCGCAAGAAGCCAGTTTGGGATCGTCTTGCCATAACCATGCAATGTCAAATGGAGTGAGAATGGGCTGGGTAAACAAACTGCGAAACCGAGCTCTTTCTTTTTAGCTAGAAACCACAGGACATTAAAAGCGTAAAAGAAAACAAGAAATCCAGCAAGAATCCATTTTTGCAAACGGAAAATCATTGCGCGCAAAACCTCCCATAGTAGAAGACTAATCTGTGTCTCACAGGGTTCCAATACAAAGGAATATACATCCCCAGTTGCTAAAATCATAGGAGGCTCCCGCACACTGATATTCATAAATTGCACCATTTCCCTTCCGCCTCACGAAAACCACCCCAGGCGCCACCACTAAATCCCAAAATCTTAACGAGACTTAGCAGCAACCTTGGGAGCAGAACCCTTAGCACCCTGCTTGCTTTGGATTCTGCTGGCCTGGCCTCTGGCAGCGCTGGTAGCGGCCTTAGCCTTCTCAGCTCTCTTCTTGCTCTCCGCAGCGGACTTCTTCTCCTTTCCTTCCTTGATGGCCTGTTGGCGGGCAGCGAGGCGGGCCTCGGGGCGCATGCTTCGTCGTTCTTTGATGACGTCTAGAGAGGCGCCGACAACGGCACGTTGGGACTTGACGGCGCGACGAGTACGCTTCTTGGCAACTTCCTATATGCGGTGATGAAAGATAAAAATTTTCCCTTGGTTAGCCCATAAGTCCCAATTCGTTCAATCCCCCATCTGCAAAAATTTAACATTCCTATCCATCCGTGATGTTTCCTTCGTTCTTTTCCTCATCCTCAGACCATGTATCTTCTGCTACTCCACACATCCTCCTTCCCAACCATAACCTTCGCATCTTGAAAACCCTAGGAGAAAAGGATGGAAATGCCACTGACTTCAGAGATACCCTTCTTGTGTTGTCTTCTGTAGAGGGTCGTCCATGAGATTCGGCGAGGGTTCTTGCGTTGGAGGAAGAGGGATTCGGTCTTGCCGTTCTGGAAGCGGAAGACTTTGCCGTCGCCGCGGACGAAGAGTTTACCCTGCACACATCACAGCCAAAAATGTCAGCTTGGTGTATTTTCCACAGTATTCCTCCACACATTCAAACGCGTATTTAAATTCCCATGTAAACTCCGGCGCATAGGAGGGAATCCTCCATAACCCAAACCAGAACGTGCGTGTGATGATCATTCTGATATCGAGAGCCCCCACAACATCTTCCAAAAAAGACAATCTCATTTTTTCGACATACCTTGCCAGGGTAAATCTTCTCGCCGCTGAAGGTATCGTCGTAGGTACGCATCTTGGATGAGTGGAGATGCGCAGCCGGTGGGTGGACGAGGTTGGATTTGTTGACTTCGTGGATTTAATTAATTGAACTCGTTACGACGCACGCCTTTCGACGCTTTGGGTTGTGGTGGTTGGTTGGTGCGAGATGCTTTCGCTAAAGTGTGGCACGTGACTTTGGTTGCCCTTCCGCGATATCTCCAACGAACTTTCCTCATTCTCTTCAACCACACCCATGCGAATTCCTTGCAGGAATACTTTCAGCAAATGCGGGTTTGTTCTATATTTTCTGGGACGAGGAATGAATTTCACAGTCGAGTCTATTACTAGTTACTGTATTTTCGTGTTACATGAGCTCGAATAGCGTGCCGAATGACTGGATATGAGTTACGGGACGTCGGTACATGATCCTTTCCTTTCCCTCCATTGTTGGAGTATTAAATCGCACTTTTGACCTCCTGGAGGAGACTCTACGTTCCATATTGAAACTCTCGGAACTCTTCATAGAAGTCTTCGAATGCTTACGAATGGCAGTTGGAAGTACTAGAAAAGCGTCTTCGCTAATTCTATCGCCTTGAGACACTTGGTACGTAGAACGGAACCGAAACAAGAAGCTCAAAATGAATCGTTTATGAAATGAGAGCAGATGAAACTCTCGTTTTCAATCCGGCAAAAGAAACAGAACCTTCATTAACTAATAACTGACATAACTATGAACCCATTTCCCTGCTCTGGTCCACTTCGTAGTTTCACTGGAGTGTAGGAAATTAGGAAATATGAAAGCACCGCGTGTTGCTCCCCGAAAAGAGAGCGCCGTAGTCTGTATTCTATCGAGCGGGCATTGAATCATCACAGGTTATATCTTCAACCCTGAAAAAAAATACATGACTATAGAAATGGAAATGAAACAGAAGATGAAAAGCCCAAACGCTCAAATATCAAAAGAAAGAGAATCGAATCATTAAACGATGAACAAAGAAAAAAGAAAACGAAGAACAAGAGCAGGGTGGCTCGCTGACAATATAAAACAAAAGCCAATAAGACGCAAACCAAGTAAAAAACGCAAAGGAATCGTCCGTAACGAATCAATCAATAAATCAATAAAGTGATATCACCCTCTTACTCAAATGATATTGTTAGCCAAACCCGGTTTCTTTATATCATGGCTTCTTGTCCGCTGCCTCTGGCATTGCATAGCGCTTCGTATCTGCCTTTGCTTGCGCAATGGCAGCGGCTGGGTTCTCTCTCCAGTGCTTCGCGACTTCCTCCGCGAGCGGGTCTTCGGCATTTGGGGCCCCAAGTAATGCCTGGATCGAGAGGAGGATGGTGCGGATTTGCAGAGCTGGGGACCAGTTTTCTATGGTTCAAGGTAAGGAGATTAGTTACTGTAGAGTACTCCTAGTAGTAGTAGTAGTAGTAGTAGTAGTAGCAGTGATGATGATGATGGTGGTGGTGGTGTGTGCGCTTCTGATGCTGCTACTAAGGAGGGGGAGGTTTTTGCCATACTCTTTAATACATCAAGACAAACCCTTCCGATGCCGTCGATGTTTGGGTGGTATATCTTTGTCTGGAACAGAACTTGTGGAGGCGCCATGGGATAATCTTCCGGTAGGAACAGCTGTAGCTTGAAGATTCCACCTGAATTACGTGTTAGCCCGGGCGGGAGGCCTTCATAGTAAGGGAGTTATCTATAGATTAGATATATCCCATACCTTCATAAGGTGAGTCGGCTGGTCCTTCGAGGGTAACGTCAAAGTGACGGAGATTGTCTTCCCTAGGGCTTGCAGTGATACCAGGAACACTTTTTGAACGGAACAAGAAGAGGAATAGACAAATCGCAGTTAGTCACCCAGAGGAGCAAAGGCACACTTTCTATTAGAAAGTAAAATAACTCACGGTTCAGTCATCAACCGCTGCGTCTCCTTCACTATTCTCTTGGGCAAATCCATCGCGGGCAAGTTGCTGTGCAGGCGCGTTTGGGCGGCCAGAAATTAAAATGGAGTTCTCTTCACGGTAAAGGATGAAACAAAAGCAGGCAGAATAGCCGGTTACTGCTACTGACAATATTTCTCGAAACGAAGAGCAACGCGCCTGGTGATTGGGAAAATTCGGTTGGAGTTTGGCGGGGTAGGGGGAAGCAAACAGCAACCGCAGCTCCCAGGCAAAAATCCAAAGTCAGACGGTCGCAGAAGGCCTGAAGAGTTGATTGATTATTATTCCCTTAACTTGCAGGGTCGATGTTATGCTGGAAGGGTTTTTTGCTCTGAATCTCTCGTGCGGCCCGCAATCTGCAATCTATTAGGGTTGGGAGTTGTTGCGGCAGATCAACGTTCGTCGGATAAACTGAGCCGGGCTAGGGGATTGTTCCGTGCCGTGCTGGGTAAGTGAACTATGTTAAGTTATCTGATTGTACCCAAATATAATAATGGCCAACAACTCTGACAAGCTATGGATCGTGGCCCTTTAAAGGCAACTGTGAGTCTGTGGCTAATAAGCAGATTACAGCTCATGCTTTTTCGCCGATAATGTGGAAGTATTTACTCATTGGTCTAGTCGGGCGTGATGCTCTTGTTTGGTGTGTTACAGCCTTTTTGCAATTAGCTAGGTTCAAGTGTAAATTTCGTTTGCAATACGCTGGGCTGGATGTAGAATAGCAATCTTTCAATTATAAACCCAGGGATTCGGTGACGATGATTGAAGGCTAAATAAGTTAGTAGGGAAACCTCAACATAAAGTATTAATTGCATTAACTAAATGCTGCAGTTATATAACGTATGATACAGAGCAAATATCGCTTTTCACCGCAAACTAAGCCTCTATCTACTATTGGCCGGATGCCCTATATGGGCCACGTGACCCACCACGTATAGAATGTGGGATGGTTAATCTGTTGTATTCGTGTAGGAAGAGCTAGCTATATATATTACATATGAGATCACGTGTAGGCGGAGCGGTCGCTACGGCAACGCCACTAGGGCGGATGCTACACCTCCCCTCACATCACCATGCAAGATCACAAACACTATAATAAAGAATCAATCATCTCTTGCAAATCTAGCTATGTCATTCTCAAATCCATTCAAATCATGCTACCTGTATTGAGTTTGTGTATTCTGTCTCTCTTCACCTGTAAAACCTAGTAAATCAAGAAATTGATAAAATGTAATTATACTCAAGAATTTAGTCAATTCATCTGCTGTCATTTCTTCAGTTGAAATATAATTAATTGAGATTATGTCATTATTCAACTGGCTGTAGATGTAATAAAATCAGATATTAATATACTTACTTCTTACAGTGATTACAGTCACTGTGACAAGATCAATCACTTTCTTATTATTCATCTTAATTGATAGAAGATCTTCTGTTTCAATGAA